TTTATTTTAAAGATCACGACCATGAATACAGAAATAAAGAATATTGATTAAAAAGGTAAGCAAAAATTCAGAATTTTTCTTACAAATAAAAACAATAAAAAGAACACCAAATTAAGATTATTTCGCATAAATAAAAACAATAAAGAATTCAAGTATAAATAACCTTCGTAACACACACAACTGAAATAAAAAAACAGAAATAAAAATCAGCCTTTACTCTGTTTTAAAATATACTTCAACACACACTTAACCCGTGCCCCTGTAAAATTGTCACTGCTGTGCTGATGGTGAGCAAAGTATTGAACATCTCACTCTTTTTTTTTTTTTTTGCCAGCTTGTTTCCAATAAAGTTGTATTCACACTATTTTTTCTTGATTTGATTTTGTAATTTTTGTGCGTTTTGTTTTATAATTATTTCTTTTCTTTTGCTTTGTATGTTTTATTTACTTTATTTACTTCTGTAAGTCTCGGAGGATATGTATGGTTATATTACATTACCTGTTTCAATTGTTTTATGTTTCCAACGATAATTTTTTAAAAAAATCTTCTTCAGCTGTTTTAAAAGCTAGAATGTTCCTTTTCTTTGGTTGTGCAGGCATACCATCTCTGTTCGAGTTACTAACAAAAAAATCAGCAAACGTTTCTCTTTGATACTGCTTCATTAGTTGTGATGAGGTGTTGGCTATATTTTTCATTTCATTAATAATAGTTGATTTATTTTTGGATACCATGATATTGGTGATCAATATTTGCTTACTTGGGATATGTTCTTATAGATTTCTTCGTAATTATTATGTCAATTATTTTTGCTGTCAAAAAATTGAAATTGAATGTTCTATCAGTATTGGAATCTTTGTTCAAAAACAAGTTTCCAATTAACCTTTTATTTTGTTAAAAATTTCAATTTTCTTTTCTTAACTAGTTTATCTTTGCTTGAGAATATTTTTGGTTGTGATATTATAGGGAATATTAAACTTAAAAAAAAACAAACTATAATTGTTCACATTAATATGACACTCATTCTATTTATTAATGGTATAGTGTAAAAAAAAATTTCCCCTCCTCCCGATTTTTTTGTTATTTTCGCTAAGAAACCTTGTAAATGAAAAATTGTATACACTAAGAAGTGACTGTATTTTCTACTTCAATGTATAATTGCTTCTGAAGTAATATAACTCTTAAAGCTATTTTAGTGAAGCGGAATTTCTTTTTCAACGAACAGTATTATTCATTTGAGAGGTTTCTGTAAACATGGCAGCGCCTTCACTTCCAAATTAAGAAGTCATAGGGCTTCCTTCCGATATTACCACCTTCACAACTTTCTAGTGGAAAGACTCGGTAAAAGGAGTTCTTTTTAAAGAAAAAAATCCAGTAGCTATGAAGAAAGAAATGAATGAAAAACTAATTTTGGCTGGTGTGTATTCAGCTTCGTTATATATTTTCAATAGAATTCTATACAGGCATTTTCAATACTATACGACGTAAAGTTAAGAAACTAATAACTATAAAGTTAAGAAATAAATAGAAACCTTATATTTATGGTACAATTCAGACAATGTCTGAATATCTCGATTCCAGTTGATATTTTATCACCGAAAGGAGAGCTTTTTCTTTCATTCAGTATTTACGGCTTCAGTATTTACGGAAGCTTCACGTTCGGAATCGCGATTTTGCAAAAGCATATAAATGGGTAATATTTATGATACTTAGTTTCACTTAGATTAGAAAATGTATATACAATTGTTTTAAGAATAGTATTACAATAAAAAATTATTTAAGTACAATATTTTGACAAAAAATGAACATAGAATGACCCATTTTCAAAATATTCTCTTTTTGTGAAAAAATGCTTCTATTATAATAATATTTGGCCTGTGTATATAGCTCAGATCTTTTTACAGAGGCTAAACTAGAATTTTTGAAATATATAACTTAGAAGTGGGTTTATCCATGTTTTACGACAACAAAGGGGAGAAATTTTAAGAAAAAACGCCGATAATTATTTAAATTGGTGGTAATTCTGAAAATAATGTGAATTTTTCAAAAACTCTAGTTCAGACTCTCTGGAGAAGTCTTTACTTTATATAAGCACACACACAAAATATTATTTTAGAAGCCTTTTTTATAAAAGGAGAACATTTTGAAAAAAGGTTAAGTTAATTTTTTGCCAAAATATTGTATTTAAATAATTTTTTTTTGTCAAAATGTCCTTAAAACAATTTTATACATGTATTCTAATCAAAGTGACACTAAATATCATGAAAATTATCCATTTATGTGCTTTTTTAAAATCAATGTTCCGAACGTAGTCGGATATCTTAATAGAAAAACAATATTGAAATTCTCCCAAAACATTGTGTTATTGAAGTTATAAGCATGAAATAAATTGATAACAGAGTTTCCCAGTTCAGTCAACTCTTTATAAGTAGATATCACGTCAGTTATATATATAAACTCTTTGCATTTGCTTAAATTTTTACAAATATTTAAATAGAAACAAGTAATAATAATAAAAAAAAAAATTTAAGTCAATTCCTGCTTAGGTCAACAAGGAAAAATTTTATTTTAGTTACTTTTTATTTAATAGTTACAATTAATATAAATATGTATATACACATGACAGAATCGCAATATTAAGGCTACACAGTACCCTAAAAATTTCATATTTACCGAATTTTTTTTTTTTTTTTTGCATTTTCTTGTGGCTCATATCATTGAAAAGCTTGTCACCAAATTTCAGATCTATTAACTAATTAGTTTTTAAGATATTTGTGTGAAGTTTTTTCAGCTATGGTTTTGGTTTCGGTTTCATTTTAAAGC